CTAATTACAAAATCACACAGCTTGTGAAAATGCTGCTGCTGAAGTTGATGACTGATGATTATGAGGTTGGAGACAATGATGGCAATAATAAGAGTGATGATGTCGGTGGTGATGATGTCATGGTGATGACAATGATGATAATAGTGTTATCAGGCCATGTTCTGACCAAATGTTATTATCTTATTTCAGATGAGGAAGTTGAGTCTCAGTGCCCAGCCCATTGGGTGCTGAGAACCAGCCCTTGCTTGAGTGTATCTTCTTTGCCCCAGTCAGCAGCTTATTCTCTAAGCATCCCAATGATCTGCCACGTTCCTTTTCCTTATTCTACACATCTAAGGTCTTAATAGATGTGACTGCTTTTGCAAGCAGTCATCCTGTCATTTTTACTAAATGGATCTAGGTGTCAAAAAGCACAGCATGAAAACAGAGTCTGCATCCAAACTCAGAGCAAAGTGATGGAAGAAGTCAGGAACATGGTATCCTGGGTGCTCCATAGTTGTCACAGTAGAAAAGCAATATGGGTGGTTGGGAAGAAGGCTCTGGCCTTGCTACAAATTAATGGACGAGCATATGAAGCAGGAGTGAGGGATCCCAGGTCATTTGTGAAGACGAAGTTCTGACCACTCCATGCATCTGTTGACTATATCTTCATCTAGCAGCCAGAAAGACATGGACCATAAGGGGAATTCATAAATCATAGGCTGAAAAGTTGAGACTTGTAATAATCATGTATAGCCTTTCTTTCCGGAACCTGTGAACTCACAGTGAAAATGGGGTAACTCAGCAGCCACAGCTAAAATGCCATCACAGCTCCTAATGCATATCTTTCAGTCTCACTCCCTTATTGCTAATAATGGAAGAGAGTGTGTCCTAGTCAGGTTTCTATAATGTGGGAAAAAGAAAGTACATTTGGCTCATAGGACCCAATCACAGTCTATCACTGAGGGAAGTCAAGACAGAAACTCAAGGCAAGAACCTAGAGACCAGAACTGAGGCAGAGACCATGGAGGAGGCCTACTCAATGGATTGCTCCTCATGGTTTGCTCAGCTTGCTTTCTTGCAGAACCCAGGCTCACCTGTCCAGAGATGGCACTATCCACAGCAGGCTGGGAATTTCAACATCAATCATTGGTCAAGAAAATGACCCCATATACATACTCACAGGCCAATCTTTTGGAGAAATTCCTCAGCTGGGGTTCCCTCTTCTCAGATGACTTTAGCTTGAATCAAGTTGACAAAACTAACCCAACACAGAGTAGGAGAAGGTCTTACACCAAGCTGTGCACAACAGAGACAACATACTCAGCAGGGGCCATGGATGCAGCTCCCCTTTGGAATATCCCTTACCCCCATGGAAGTCAGTGAGCTTGTCAAATTTAGCTTCAGCTGTTCAGTTGACACAAACATGGAGTCTCTTGGGGAAAAGGCATCTCAATGAAATGATTGCCAAGATCAAATTGGCCTGTGGCCATGTGTTTGGCATTTTCTCACTGGTAGTTGATATGGGAATGATCATCCCACTGTGAGCAGTGCCATCCTTAGGCAGATGAGCCTGGGCTATGCACGAAAGACAGCTGAGCAAGTAAGCAATGTCTGTGTTTCAGTTCCTGGCTCCAGGGTCCTGCTTTGAGTTCCTGCCTTGGATCTCCTGATGATGGACTATAACCCATAATCCAAAGAAATGCTTCCCTCACCCAGGTTTCTTTTGGTCAGTGTTTTATCACAGCAACAGACACACAGACTAGAACAGAGTCCCACAGTCTCCGACATCAGTGACTCTTCTAAGCCAATAAAGGCAAAATCCTTCAGGTGGAGCTTATTTGATTTTAAATCTCACTGTTTCCCATATGTATTCTGGAACCTCCATTTAAGGAAGGGGCATGAGGTTACCAACACTGGGATAGTTTAGAGCTCATGACTGTATTGCCAGTATCCTTGTAACCAACAAGGTATCTAGTAACTAGAAAAACAAGACAATAAGACACTGTTCCTTCTCTAGCATAAATTCTCACCCAGTATGGTAGTTTGAAAGAAAATGGCCCCCAATAGGGCTGACACTATTAGGAGGTGTGGTCTTATTGGAGAACATGTGTCATAGTGGAGGTGGGCTTTGAGGGCTCATGTATGCTCAAGCCATGTTCAGTAAGACAGACTCTTCCTGTTGCCTTTGGGTCGAGGTGTAGAATTCTCCAGCACCATGTCTGCCTACACGCCACCATACTCCCAGTCTCCATACTCCCTACCATGATGATAATGGACTAAATCTCTAAAACTGTAAGCCACCACCTCAGTTAAATGCTTCCCTTTATAAGAGTTGCTGTGGTCATAGTGTCTCTTCACAGCAATAGAAACCCTAAGACACCCAGAGGACAGCCCACTTTGCCATTGATTACTTGGGGAAGGTACCATGACAAGGTGTCACTGATGTGGAAGCCTAAGTGAGATAAATAGGGAGGCTGCAAAGAATAGTGAACCCGCGTAGATACATGTTGAAGAATAATAGTTAGATGACCAAAAATGAGATGATAAAAACATTAGAACAAAGGTTTGATTTTGTTTGAGAAGTCCTAGGCAACTATTATTTGTAAGACATAGGAAGGACTTCTCTCCTTCCCTCTCTCCTCCTCCCTCCCCCTCTCTCTTTTTGTTTATTTCTATTTCTCTGTGTGGGTATGTGTCATCTCTCTCTCTCTTCTCTCTTTGTCAACCTGTGTGTTTGTGTGGATGTCTCTGTCTTTCTCTGTGTCGGTCTATCTCTGTCCGTTTGTGTGTGTGTATGTCTGTGCCTCTCTGTTTGTGTGTCTGACTCTGTGTGCATGTGTGTGTATGTGCATATGTGTGCATATAGATCAAAGAACAAGTGCAGATGTCATTCCTCGGGTGTCTTTCACCTTTTGTTCAAGACGAGCCACCAAGTAGGCATGGCTAGTCAACCAGCAAGCTCCAGGAACCTACCTATCTCTACATCTCACCTCCTCATCACTGGCATTCTTCATGGGTTATGGGGATCGAACTCAGGTACTCTTGCATATAAGCTGAGCACTTTGCCAACTGACCCATCCCCTCAGGCACCACAGCTACAATTTCTGTTAGTAGACTAAAGGTCAGGTGCAAGGAAGTAACTTTCCTACAGTCTCATAGACCAGTAGTCCTACCTTCTTGCAAGGCAGAGGCAGAAGGTCATTAACCCCAGAACAAAATCAAATCTTTGGTCTTGTCTTTTTCTCTAGTGAATTCCTAACTTCTCTCATTCGTCAACAGTGTAGTAACAGTCACCGCAAAAGAAAAAAAAAAAAAAAATAGGAGATAGAGCCGAGCATAGCAGTGCAGTATGTACCTAACAAGTACAGGGACTCAGGGTTTGAACCCCAGCACCAAATGCTGTTTCCATTAGAAGACAGTATTTCTTATATCTTTGCTTGATCCTATTGATAACTAAAACTGGGCATTTTAAAACAAGGGGTAGCACCTTTAATTCTAAAAAACAAAACCTAAAGATGAATGATTTCTTGTTGTAAGCTAGGGTATGCTATCTCCCTAACGCAGAGGTCTGTAAGACCCTAAAAGTTCCCCTTCCCTGCAGTATTCATCTGGCCCTCCCTGTATCCGTTCAGGCCTCTCACATCTATACATGTTTGCTAGAGTCCTGTACTGCCCCCCATCAGTTGGTTAGCTCTCTATGAGTGCGTGAGTGTGAGTTGATTCTCTCTTTCTCTCTCTCTGAACAGGTTCCACTGATGCTTTTTATGCTGGAGCAAAGCAGGCACAGCCCAAGATCCATCTATACAGAGTTATGCCCCTCTGTGCTCTGCCTCAGGCCAGCGGTCGGTGTGATGTCTACTTGTGAACTCCATTCCTGTCCAGCAAATGTGAATAGTGTTTCAAGGAGGAATGCCTGAGGCCTTTGAGGTTAACCGACAGGGCTCCGCTGAGTTAACCAACAGGGCTCCGCTGAGTCGCAGCAGTGTTTTTTGTCCCTTTGCTTTGAAGGTTGGCTTTTGTCTTGTTTCATTTTGGTTTGTTTTACGTTTTGAGACAGGTTGTTACTCTGCAGCTCAGGCTGGTCTAGAACTCATCACTTATCCCAGGCTGCCCTTCCCACCCCAGCCTCCTGGGTTACAATCATGATTTTGGAGGTGAACTGGAGGAGAGCCACAAAGGAGAATAAAGAGGGATGAGGTCTTCTTTGTGCATATGAAAATATGACCAAGAGCCCCGTTACTGTACACTCTAACTACAAGTGACAAAATAAATTTAAGTTTTTAAAGAGATAAAAATAAGGACAGAGTTTTGTACTGATTTTGGAAAGGCTTTTATAAGTTTCGGAGTGTTCCCTTGGGCTACCTACTCTGTCATGTCTGTAAAATGAAATGGATCCTCGTGCCTTGGTCCAACACTGCTCAGTGTCTGTTGCCAATAAATTGAGAAGAGCAGTCGGGTTCACCAGTCTATTTGCTTAGACTTCAGTAGCAAACACAGCCCTGCAGCCCAAGGTTTCCTCTTCTCTTCCAAGCTTGGCTTAGCGTTCAGGCTCCACAGTCCAAATGGCATGGATATGAAAATCCCAACTCACTCCCAAGTCCCAGCTCTGCCATTTATAGCCGAGTGACTGACTTTAAGCAACCGGTTCAAGCCTCGGTTTCCTCGCCTATAAAAGGAAGTGAGGGTGTCAAACCCGTAGTGAGCCTGGGAGGCTCAGCAAGAGAGACTGGGGACCAGGTGTCCCTACACCAAGCGTTTTATCTGCCTGATTTAGATCAGGGCAGAACATTGGAAATTGCAGTGCCTATGGGTCAGAGGACGCCCACACTGGTCCCTGCTGCCACTGAACTATAAATTAAGCTAAGTGCCACCACATCTCTCTTCGCTCTCAGGACCAGGGATGAGGAGGTTGCTGAACACGTCCCTGTAGCACTTGTTTGTACTCAGTTTCTGTTAGTTGGGGGTTTGCTGAGCATTTCCCTTAGAACATCACCAGACCCTGCGCGGATCTCCGGCTCCCGCCCTCCCTGGGTTCCCCACCCGAGACCACGCAGCCCCGCCCCAAGCCGCTGCCTCCCATCCTCCAGGGGGCCAGCCTGGGCCCACCCGCCTGCTGCGGTGGGCGGCAGTCACGACTCCACGCGCGCGATCTCGGGCGGGCGAGGTGGCCGCGGGTGCTGCGCGGGGCGGGGCGGAGGCCCGGGAGGTGGGCAGGACCCGGCCAGGCAAGGCCCCAGGGTGCACGCCGCTGCCTGGCGGGATGGACATCCCAGGGACCTGGCACTGAGGGAGAGCAAAGGCAAGCAAGCCTGAGGTTCCTGCCAGGAGCCCAACACCATTCCCGCGGCCACGATGATCCCTCCGAGTGGCGCCCGCGAGGACAGCGGGGACGGGCTGACCGGGGAGGCAACCGGCACAGAGCAGCCGCCCTCTCCTGCGTCCACAAGCAGCCTGGAATCCAAGGTACAGTGTGCCTGCCCTGGGGCAACACCGAGTCCCTTCTCCCTCTGTCACCTTTCCTCAGGGGTCCCGTGCCAGGGGAGCTGGGACACATCCTCCAGTGGTCTGGGACCAGTAGGACCTGCTGCTCCTCATGGTAAGCCAGCTGCCCAGATACAACCCTTTGCAGCGCTTTGCTTTAGGAGCCAAGCACTTCACCCTTATCCCGATACCCAGATGGCTTCCTTGGGCAGGAGAGGGAGTTAGGGTGATGTGTGCCCTAGACCTGCTTGTGTCCCCAGTGTGGGTGGGTAGCTTCTGGGGGCAGAAAACTGAGACAGCCTAGAGATTATTTCTTTAGAAAGCTTGGGCACTGAGCCCACAAACTGTGCCTCATCCTGGGGTCTCAGGGACCCTTTGCTTACTAGGGAGCCTCCCTAACTTCAGATAAGAGTTTAAAGAAATATATTAGGCGAAGAGAAGTAACTGGGATTGTAAGAAAGTTAGTTTTCCCCGTGTAGAAGTTGCTACTCTGTAGAACTTAACACTTGTCTTTTTAAGAGTCACACTAACACACATACACAAAACCAAGCCCTCAGCACGTCTCCTGTCACATTTATACTTCCTCTGAAACTTGCGTGGGTGCCAGGCACATGTTTGGAAAAACTGGAAGAGAACCAAGTAAAGCGTGGCTGCTTGAATGTGCAGAGACAAATGGCAACCCCGCCGGGAAAATAAAGCTCGTAAGATGGATTTGCAGTTAGATTCATAGATTCCTTTAAGTGAGTGTCTCCTGGCTGTGCAGGGGTATTTGTGAGTACCTGGGTGGGACATGGCGGGGAGTGTTGAGTGCTTCCTATGACCAATGGGATGCTGGATTAGACCAGAGCCAGGAGAAGTGGGTTCTTGTGGTCATGCCATGCAACCTTGTATGGCATCATACAGCTCGAGGTAATGGGGACAGGCATGATGTTGGCAATGTACATTTTCAGTGTCAATAGTTAACCATCAGAGATGGTGGTCTAAGACCAAAATCTGTGCACAAATTTAATTCCTGACTATGTCATCTGGGCTCTAGTGACAACTTAAATCCCGTTGGAAAGACAGACAAGACCTGACTCTTTCCTGGTGCCTTGACAGACATACCCTGCCCCTGTGTGAGCTGGGGAAGTAGGGTCCACCACACTAGATGGCCCTTTCCAAAGCAGGCTCCCTGTGCCTCTCCTTCTTCTATCTGCAACGTGATGGAACTCGTTCTTGTCAACTGTTGACCACCAGTAGTCCTAGAGGCCGAGGGCCAGCTGCTGTTTCAGAGGTGATCTGGGATTATGTGCATGGAATAACTCAGAGCAAGAATGAAAGTGTTTATGTTTTAAACTTCACATTTGGGCCTGCCATCCTGCAATAGGTGTGTTCTAGAAAGGCCTTAGTCTTTGAGTAAAACAGCAGCATGACTCAAACACACAGCATGGGCTTGCTATTTATAGATGTCCCCATGTAAATCATCTGGCAAAGCAAAAACCTTCTATGTAATGCCCGTAATTACCCACCAGTTTATCCGGCTTACAATTTCAGATCTGTAGACGTCCATTTTTCTGAACGTCATCCATGTGCCTGTTGTGTGTCTATGCGTCCCTCAGTTTGCCACTCCACTGTGGCTTAGGCATCCTACTAACTAGTGGAGACGAGCTCTAAGGAACAGACCATAGGATAGGAAACTACATACTGAAAAGCATGCTTGGGTGTGATTTTTTTTTTCTCAAAGTGCTATTCGTAACTGGATCAAGGGGTTCACATCCCTCAAAAGAGGTTTTCCTGCTGATTTTGGAGGAGCAGTGGTGAGGGGCAGAGGGCTTGGAGCAGGAGCTGGTAAGATCATCAGTGCACACGGTGAACATCACTGTCACTGGCCTTTAAGCAGCTCTGTGCCCTGAGAAGGAGAGAGTCTGCTGGGAAGATGCGGGCAAAGCAGGGTCAGCTCTCTACTGAACTCTTCCAGGAAGTGGCCGTGTTGGTCAAAATGCACATTTCAATATAAGCAAAAAGACAGGCTTCAAATACATCCCAAAAATGTCAAGTAACTAAGTAAATTCCAGGTCCATATATCAAAAACATCACTTGTACTCCATATTGTAACACAGTTATGATATGGCAGTTTAACACAATTTTTAACAATATCATCTAGAGGATGCATCGTGGAGACCCTACTGGGCATTGAAATTTCTCTGCTAAGACTTTTGTTCATATATTTTTAATTTCTCATTACACATATTTATTAATGTATATGTGGACATGAGCTTGCTACACTGTTTGTGTGGAGGTCAGAAGACAACTTGTAGGCATCAGTCCTCTCCTTCCACAATGTGGAACCCATGGCTCAAACTCAGGTCATCAGGCTTAAGGTGAGGGCTTTTACCCACTGAACCATTTCACTGGCCCTCAAAGACTTTTAAGAGAGATGTTTTAGCTGGCCATGGATCTGTAATCCTAGCAACTGAGAAGCAGAAGCAGGAAAGCTACAACATGAGACCCTGTCTCAAAAGACACACACACACACACACACACACACACACACACACAGAGGGGGGGGATTTCTAAATATAAGAATAACAAGTGCTGGCTATTTGAAAAGTCCAGTGGGAAAAAAATAAAAAATAAAAAGTAAGACACCATTGATTGACAGTCCAGAAGCAAGCTCAGACAGCACTTTGTTCTCTGCTCAACCTAGTGTCATGATTACTTAGTGGCAAAGACAAAGGTAAGTCTCCACTAAATGCTCCTCTAGCCAGATATAACCATAATCTTCAACACCAGAAGACTCTGCTGCGACGTCCATTTCATGGCTAGAGCACTGGAAAGCTCTGGAAAGATAGGTGACCTACCCAAGGTCATGCAGCTCCTTGAATGGCAAGAGCAGGACCTGAGCAACTCAACCTTGGAGTTAGGAGTTTTGGTCTTTACCTACCTCTCGCTTGGGCATTTCTTACATCAGCCCTTTCTCCTAAGATTATAGAGATCAGATTCTCACCAAGAGGTCATTAGTGACACATTATGTCTTCCATATCCTCTTCCTGCTCCTCTTCTCCTTCTTTCCCCTCACCATCACAAACATGTATCACCACATCTACTTAGTCTTTTAATTACATTCATTCATTTCCTCATTTATTATGTGTATGCACGAACTCTTGTGAGAGTGTACACACCATGGCATGTGTGTGAGGATCAGAAGACAGCTTTTTGGAGTCAGTTCTCTCTTTCCACCATGTGGGCTCTGTGGATCGAACTCAGATAGTCAGTCTGAGTTTTATCCACTGAGCCATCTTGTCAACCCAGTCGTGTCTTCTTAAGCAATGGGGCTGGGGAGGCAGCTTAGTTAGTAAAGTGTTTGCCACACAAACATGAAGTCCCAAATTTGATCCCCAAAACCTGCCTTTTAAAAGCCAAGCACAGTGGTGCCTGCTTGCAAACCTAAGTGCTAGGGAGGTAAAGCTCACAGATCAGTAGGTCTCACTGGCCAGCCAGCCTAACCTATTTGGAACATTCTAGACAAATGAGACTGCCTCAAAAAGCACAATGGATGGCTCTTGAGACAGACACCTGAGGGTTTACTGCAGTGTCCATATGTATGACATGTATGCATTTCACATATATGTGTGTACCTGTGTATACACAAACATACATACACAGAAAAGGAAGAAATCAAGAGCTGGAGATGTAGCTCAGTGGTGGAATGCTTGTTGAGCTTACTCAATGCCCTAAATTCAATCCACAGCACTTCAAAAATAAGTAACTATACCAAGTCACATTGTTGTGAGAAATGGTTGATGACAAGTCTTATTTGCCTTCTTCAACATTGTATTTGCTACTTCTCACCCCAAAGTACATGTGCATGTAATAGATGCATTATCTAAGAACCTCCTGGAAAATGGGACACATTAAACCCACTATTCCAGAGGTCTATATGGCATCATGAGCAGCAAGCATGTGCACACCGTGTCTGAGTGTATAAAATACACAAAACACCACCAAACATAAAACAAGGGCAAACAGCATCACCAGCAGAAGTCCATTTCCTTTGCACTTTCCTTGAAAAGCTAAATTACAGTGTTGATATTAGTAATACTAGAGAACATTTATTTTGGGTGTTTTAAAACCTGTAGCTTTGCATGGAAAATGTCAACATACACACAGGAAGACAAGAAGTCATCGTAAATCTGACCAGCCACCTTCCTAGGTTATTGGTTCATGGACAATAAAGTTTGACAGACTATCCCATCGCCAAGATGCACCCCCCCCCCATTACCACCACCATCACCACCACCACAGGACCATCTTAAAGAAAGTTCTGAGTCATCAGATCCTTTAGGCAGAAAAACTTTGAGTTGCATATTTAAAAAGATAAGGACTCTTTGGGTAAACTCAGGGTCCCATTAGCATATACTGCAGATGTTTTGTTGTCGAGGATCAACAGAGTATTTCAGAGGTTCAAACATTGTGGAAAACCTGTGAGTAAAGAGAACGAACACTCAAGACCTCACAGGCACATATGTTACCTGTGAAAAGCATGTGTGCCTTGCATAAGTTTCATGAGAGCATGTAGCACTCAAGGCTCTAGTGATCCTGCATTCTCTCTCTTTCCCCTCTCAGACAGGGCTCTAGAGAAGGACAGTAAGACGCTGAGATGATGTAGCACAGGTAGTTAAACACTTATTTGATGTTGGCTATGCTCCTCTCTGAGATCCCAATCTCTGACTTGGGATCCCAGATGATTTCCTCAGAGCCAATTCCCTGTAAGCACATGTAGTCATGATGTTTAATGTAATTGTATTTTTTTTTCTTTTCCATTAGTTGAGCTGAAAACTCTGAAAGCCACTAATGTGTGTCTCCTCCTTTATCTTTCCACTAACTGTTCCAGAAAGACCATAGCTAATTACAGTGTGCTGGAAGGAGATCAATGAACAAGGGGGGAGGGTACCCTAGCCCCAGTAGTTGAATTTTTTCCCATTTGACTTAGTGACAGCACA